AAAATCATAAAATTTTTTGTGAAATATCATATAAAGTATCAATAACATTTAATTTGATTTAGATTATTGTATTTTTTATATATATGTAATAAACATTAATACATTATAATATTTTATTTAATATTTTTATTATATAAGATTTCATATCAATCAATCTATAATTAAATTAAAATAATGTTTTTTAACACAATTTTGTATTTATGATTTATTCATTGATTTTAATTATAATTCTATTTATAAAATGATTCAAACTTATTTTATTAGTTTACACTAATATTTGCTTAAATTTTTATAAATATTATAAATATAATAATATAAATATTATAAATATAAAATATAAACATTATTCCTATGATTATCATTTTATATTTTATAATCACTGAAAGTAATCACTCCATTATATAATTAAAATAATATTTCAAATATGTTTATATTGAATTATTTTTTAATATAACTCGTAAAGCTGTGAAGATAGAGAAGGCATTGGACAAATATTGAAATATTATTAATTTATCATTTATATATTATTCTTAATTAATTAATTTATAATTAATGTTTAAAGAATTAAATAATTTTACCGCACAATAAGAGCGCAAAGAAAGTTTTGGCACTAAAAAATTGATGGAAAGAGATATTGGTTTTTGAAATATCAGCATAATCAATATGTTTTGTTGCATTTCTGATGTCTGTTCATACCATTTTAAGTTATATGCACTTATTGAAACATTTTTACTCTAAAAATTATGGAAAATTAATTATATATATGATTCAGTATATATGATTCAATTAATTACATATATGTACATGTAAATAAATATAAATTATATATTGAATAAAAATATATAAAATATACAAATAAATCAAATTTTTTATTTGAAATTAATTAATTTTCATTTTTTCAATGATACAAATAACTTTATTTGAAATTTAAAAATCTTAAATGTTAATAATGAGATAATTTATTTATTCATATTTATTTATTATAAGCAATTTATTAAACGAAAAAAAAATAGAAATAGAGAAACTGTTTTTGTTACATAACCATCTCATTCTGTTTCAATTTCGTTTTATTTAATACAAACTTATATTGTTTATAAATAAGTCAATTTTTATATTTGTTTTGATTTTTAGAATCGATTTTTCAAATAGGATAGAATAGTCAATAGTCTTAAGAATATATACACTCTCTATATTTATATAATAAATACACTTATATTTGTCTACTTAATATAAATAATGACATGTTAAAATTTAAAAAAAATATTTTATAATTAAAATACTATTATTTAGAATATTATTAATTTCGGTAAAATATTAATTTCAAAATAATATTTGTTTGAATACATATATTTAAAATACTATCTTTTTATGTGTTCAGAGAAGATTTCAAAGAAAATTTTATTTATAAAATGTTATATCATTGAAAAAAATTAAAATATTTATTTCTATTTATCTATTTTAAAAATTTATTTTCTTTGAGCTCGGATCAAGTTAAATAGGTACGTGTGATATATAAATACTTAAATAATTTAAATAGTTTAATAAACAAGATAGTTCAATTTTTTGGATTGCATTGAAAGAAATTAAATGCATTAATTTTGGAAATTATAAGATAATAATAAGATAATATTATTAAAATAACTGTTACTTATAATTAACACATGTTAATTATATTAATGCAACATGGAACGTTATATTATTCGAAAATATCAAGTTGTTTATTTGTATATTCTTATCTTGTTTGTACTCATACGAATCTGTTTAAATTTATCCAAGTCCATTTATGTTTCTATTCCGATCTGAATAATGAATGTATTCAATTCATTATTTCAATTATTTACATTGAACCTAAATGTAATTTCTAAATTTTTGTAAATATTTTATATAAATAATAATTTACATATAAACGATTTTTACCATATCATCCATGTATTGCGCTGGCCATGCATATAAATAAACTTCTATGAGTGCAGTGAAACATGTGATCATAAACTGTATTTTTATAATTAATAGAGGATTCTGGTTACAAATTATATTATATTATTATATTATATCATTATAAGATAAATCAGTTTTTCCATCGATATTAATGAATTTAAAATATGTTACGAAAGAAATCATTTTGAACAATTTTTTTTTTTACATCAAATTTAATTTTTTAATTATTCACAAAAACTTTTGGTATTTCTTACAAAAATCTATAAGCATTATTACATGATTTGCATTTATTATATGTTTATACAAGGAATTCCAGAAGTCGATTAGTAAAGCATAAACTGATTTTAAGCATAAACATATAATATATATAATTGTTATATAACAAATATTTTTTTTTTTTTTGATAAATTATATCGAATTATATCATAAATAATGAATAAAATATAATATTCAACACATTTTGATATGTTATTTGAATTTATTCGTGCTCAGTCAGTAATATGTAGTTAATACTATTGTCACTGCTCAACTAGGCTTCCACGATTGATCAATTGCCTTCCGCGATTGATCAATGTTTTTTGTTAATAACTCATTAATAAAGTCATAACAAAATTTTTTTAGTTATATAGGTCCTAATATATACTTTTACAAAGTAACAAAAAGTATTATTTAAAATTATCTCAAAATCAAATTATATATGTATTATGTATGTATTATATATGTATTATATATATATATACATACATATATTACATATATTATATATTATATATAAATGCATCACATGTTATCACGAATGCACATGTATAAGTAGAATTCAATATATCATTAAAAGTTTTTTTGCGAATAAATCGAAAATTAAGGCTAATCGATTATATAAAAAAAATGATATTTTTAACATATTTTAAATTTATTGAAATCGATAAAAAAAAAATTAATTGATAAATTGACTGAATTATGAAAAATATTATGTACATAAGATATCATAAAATTTACCATTATTAGTATAATACCAGCAAGAATCATATTAAATGATGTTGCTATTATAGTGTAAAAAATGATATGCTGGAGACAATTGGCTATTTCTTTTGCGTATCTAAAAAATAAATTGCTTACAATGAATATAAATAAAAATAATTTAATTTATACATTATAAAATGTTAATCCTATTGATTAGTTCTCTCTTTATTGATTTTAATGACTTTAAAATATATTGTAAAATATTGTTTTAATCAACTTTTTTCTTTATACACAATTGATGATCGACAGTTTTCGAATTATTTACAAAAATTAATACTATTATATTGAATTTTATTTAATATATATGCGTTCAAGAATAATATATGAATTGAATAGTGTGAATATTATAATTTGTAAATATTGAATAGTATTGAATATTATAATTTGTTCATTATTTATGTTTCCATTTTTAGGATATTTTGTATAGACATACACATATAATAAGAATTCAATAATATAATACCAAAATTTTTTTGCGAATAATTCAAAAATTAGAGTTGGTTATGCATAAAGAAAAAACTTGCTGAAAAAGAACGAACAATATATTTCAAGTTTATTAAGATTATAATATGAATATTAAAGTTTATTAAGATTAATTAATAATAAGAAGAAGAAATAATCAACAAGTTGATTATCTTTACCTCCTGATTTGTAATTGTTTTTTTATACAAATGACCATCATATCTTTGTTTGAAATATTCTGTATCTTCGCGATCAAACATTCAAATCTAATGACCACGAACCATAATAAAAGCGCTCCAAATATGCTTAGGCACACAGTTGCAGAACATTGATAAGCAAAGAAACATTGATGGAAATATATTATAATATATACTGCCGTATTATTAAGGCTTAATGGAAATTCTGTATAGAATGGTAATGAAACAGGTAAGAATATAGGTCCTAATATAAATATTGTCGTAGTTAAGTATGAAATTATTATAGCACTTCCATAAAGGATATAACATTTTGCTACATATTTCTGCATTATTTCTTTTTCGTATTGTTTTGCCTCTTTAATATAGGTTATCATTTCTTCGATTATATGCTGTTAATTTATGATAAATAATTTATAATAAAATATGTATAATAAAACATATATAATAATAAATACAATCATTTTCATCCATAAATCATTAAATTTCTATTAATTTTTATTCTATTAATCGATAATATAAATTTGTGAATTTACTTTTTTAATATTGCAAATATAAATTTTTAAATAATAATAATATATTTTTATTTTTTTAATAATATATTATTTGTGAAAATTTCTTTTAACATTTAATCGTAAATTTAAAAAAATGAAAGCATTTATTAATATTATTTTTAAATTAAAACTGATAAAGATGAAATAATATATAATATAAAACAATATATAAAAATTATATATTGATAATATATAATATATTATATTTTTCTTTAAGGAAATATATTTTAAATTTAAAGTACATATTTAAAATTAAAGTTACTAAAATATACTAGATTAAATCTATTATTCTGATATATTTTTTATATTTTAATATAACAATATATATATATATATTGTAATTTATAAATATATTGATTATAAATATATATATTTATATTTTTCAAAAATATTTTTATCATTTTATATTTCTTTTTAAGATATTTTAATTTGTAAAAATTATTGTAGAAAAGTCAAATAATATATAAAAAGATATATAACTTATATGTTTTTCTTATAAAATAATTTGTAAGATAATTGCATCCAAAAATAAAATATTTTATAAAATGAATGTATATGATAATTTGATAATTAATAAATAACACATCATTCTTTTTTCTAACATTGTATTTTATTGCAGAGGTTTTAATATTTTAGTATTACTATTTAATTTTAATATAGTAGTTAGTATAGTATAGTTTAGTATCAGTAATTTTAGTAGTAATTTTAATTTTTTAGTAGTAGTAATTTTATTGTAAAACTAACTAAATTCGGATAAAAAGGGATTGCTATTGAATTCGATTATTATTAAAATATAATCAGAAACGATTTACATTTTGAAATAAATAATTGTTCACATCTTATATAATAAATAAAATAAATTAAGTAAAGTTAACATTAACTAATTTAATTTTTTGAATTTTTAAAATTTTTTAAATTTTTTTAATGGGTTTTTAGAAAATAAAAGAAATATTAATTAAAATATAAAACAAATTTTATATAATTTATCATATTCAGCAATCACTATTAACTTTCAATAATAAATTTATTTCTAATTTTTTATAATATAAACTTTAATATTTTGTAACAATCATTGTTACATCAATGCAATGAAAAATCTTTATTTTATTAGTTTTTTTTAACTAATCATTTAATTATTCATTTAGTATTTTCTAAAAGTAGATGAATTATAAATAAATAATATTTTCCATATTATTTTAAAAAAAAAGATTATTGCAAATAATAAATTTGTACATAATACATAATTTAAATACAATAATTAATAGGAAATAAATAAGAATTTAAATTTTATATTCTTAAATATATAGTAATTTAATTATGTCATACGATTCAATTTTAATTTTTAAATTAATTAATTATCCGATAAGACCAATTTTATTCTAATATTTTCTTCTTTTTTCTTTCCTTTTTTTCTTTATATCTGTTATTATATATCTTTTTATATCATCTTGTATTATTATTGTATAATAACTTACTTGTAAAGTATCATGTTTGATCGCGCATATAGTGGTTTGAACAATTAATTGAATAAAAACTACCACTATGCTTATAGACTTAGCGACAATGACGATATCGTCTTGGTGTAAATATATCGAATGAAACATAGGCAAGCTTCCCAAACAAGAGCTAATAATAGTAAAGATTTGTAAAAATCTGAAAACAATGATTTGATTTCTATTGCTATTAGCAGAAATTGGCCAACAGAAGCACAAAGCTACACTAAGCCACGTAATGTAAATGACTCTTTTTAACATTACTTGCTCTATCATAATTTTAAGAAATTGTTGAAACAAATGAGATAAGATTTCACTGATGAATAAAATTGTGTGCAGATTGTTGCTAGCTTGAATTGTTATACTTCTTTGAAAGATAATAGAGATAAGAGAAAAAGAAAGAAAGATAATTAAATATTCATTACATGATCATAGACATTATTCGTGAAGCATTGCTTCAATAGAAAAAGGAATTTAATAAATCAACATAAATGAAGTACAATTTATCGGTAATGATTTTTTCTATAGACTATTTCTACATAGTCTAGCTCGATAGAAATAATTATTGGTTATACTGGTAGTAGATTAGAAACATGCAAAGGAAGGTTATTACGTAAAGTGATTAATATTAAGAAATAAACGTTCTATTAGAAACTTCTATTACAATGTTCTTTTGTAAAAAGATAAAGAATATCATATTAAGTTAGGTATTCAGACAGTCAACTTATATACACGCGATATTTACGAAATATTAGCTAATAAGAAAGAAAATGTGATAACGCAAAACGCATAGAATCCATATCAATACAAAGTATCAATAGATTTAATATGATATGATATAATTTAAGAGTCTAAAGATTTGAAGTAATTTTCTAATGCTATCGAATGAAATCAAAAATATTGTAAATATTTAATATACGTATCAATTAAAATTCATGAATATATAAAGTAATATAAAGAAATGAAATTTTATGTGAATAATTTTCTATTTTGATGTAATTAATTCTCAAAATTTTATAATAACAAAATTTGTTTTATATTCACATATTCTGTTTCTGAACATAATTTTTCTTGGAATTCTAATTTATATTTTATTCTTATTTAAATGATTTGATTAATTAATGATTATTAAAAATCTCATTTTATTTCATAGATGAAATGAGATATTTAAATATTTAAAGCTTTATACATAAATTTTATTATAAATTTTTTTTCATTAAAATATTTATTAATTTTTTTTAAGTATAAACATTTCAAAAAAATATCATTTCTTTAGTTCTTCATGATTCTTCATGATTCCATATTAGGCATCATATCCAATCATATTAAAATTTACTTCTAAATACATTTATTTTATTTTTTTATTTTATTTTTTTATTTATAATTTTAAAGCAAGCTTGAACTTTGTTTCGTAATTGTAATGATTTAAATTTTCTTAATATTTTTATTTATTTTTTTGCCACTTTTTATTTCTTCTTTTGCTTCTATTTATCTTCTTATTTTTGCTTTTTTATTTTTTTCCAACTCTTATTTTTTGCAGTGATTGGAAATATTAGTGTTCTTTCAAATGAATAATTAACAATTTTAATTTTATTTTGCTTTGAATATAATATAGATGTTAACGGATAAAATATGACTTTTAATATTAAAATCTCATTGTTAGATGATCATAAAAAATAATTTATTATTAATAAAATTTAATTTTTTATTTTTTTATTATAAATGATGTAAATAATTTATTGAAATGATTTATATATGTTATAAGCAATAAATTGTGACCAATATAAAAAATGCACTTATAAACATTTATTGTATTCTATTTTATATAATTTTTATATAAAGTATATAAAGTATATATTCTATACTCTAATATAAATTTTTTTATTTATTTTTTATTATCTATTTATTTATTTTTCAACATTTTTTTTTAATTTAACAACAAAAATTAAAGTTTGTCTTAAATTTTTTCATTATGTTTCAATAATTTTAATTTAACTTAGTTTATTAATTTAATAACAATTTAATTTAATATAGTTTAAACTTTTTTTTATTTTAAATATTTAATCTTATATTTCAGTCCTTCTAATTTGGATGATTTTTACATTAAAATATAATAATTTATACTTATATTTTTATATTTATATAAAATTTAATATTATGTATATAATATTTTTATATCCATATATAAATATTCATAAATATATAAATATTTCATAATCGGGATATTTTTGTTAAATTTCAATGTATAGAAATCTATAAAATGTATTATATTTTAATTTTTGCTCGATTGAAGTAAATAAGACTTCAACCAATCAAAAAATTGCTAAAGACTAGTGACAAAATGAATTAGTGCGCATCATAATGCGCATGTCATCAATCTATAATTGAAAAATGTGGTAATAGATTCTGTTTTGTGGTTACACGTATATATTATATAAAATTTTTATTGGTAGTATTATATTACGCCTAATTATAGATTATTAAATCTTGTGTAAGTACGTATCTATTTACTATTATATAGAATTGAATGTTTTTATATATCGATTATTGTTTGGAATTTCGAAAGCAGGATAGATTTGAAAGTATAATAATTTTTACAGACATCATAATAATTAATAAATAATCCGATGACTTTCAGGCAAATGTAAGAGAGATTTTATTTATGTTAAAAGATTTCTTTTAATAAAAATTTATAAATTTCCTTTGTTTCTTTTCATATATAGAGATGGAAGTAGCTAAATTAATAATAGTAGTTAATAATAGATAATTAGATTAATAATAGATAATTAAGTACATATACTATATATATATTTTTTTATATATATTTATTTTTTTTAAATGTGTTTTATTTATACGTTCAATTACGTATATTAAAATTATTTTTATATTTGTTTTGATTTTATATTTAAAATATTTCTTATAATTTAATTTTCCGAGAAATTGACTATTTATGTTCATGTCACATTTAATTTATCGAAATATTGAAATATTCTTTCTTTCCATTTATAATTCGATACATCAACAATTCTATTGTCGAAATTCTATTAGATGCTTCGCATTAGATGCATAATTTATCTATTTCGTAATTTTTACTTGATAATTATTCTTTTATATTATATATTTTATATTATATATTCTTTTATATTATATATTATATATTCTTATATATTCTTTTATATTATTTCATTGTATTTTTATTGAATATAATATAATTATATAATATAATTCTTTGAAAAATAATTTAATTTTTTTTTTATTCGTCTTAATTATTAGAATTAGTACTAGCTTGTATTATGAGTTAAAATATGATTTGAAATTATTCTTTTGTTTTAATACGATAAGTTTAATCTTATATATGTATATATATATATATTTATCATAAAAAAGATCATAAAAAAGGAATTTAATTTTTTTTTTGTAAATAAGTAATTGATTGCTAAAATTATTTTAGACGGGAAATTTTGAATATAGACATTACGATGACAATTTACGATTTAAAAATAAAGAAATAAAAAAAGAGAAATAAGATTTAAAAGATAGCGTAAATATTTTTGTATTTTCTTTTTGAATGAATGGTATATAGTACATGTAAAACATGATACATTATAGTTTTGATGTAATTTGTAATTACAAATTGATTGTTAAAAATATCAAAATAAAATAGAAAAGATTTTGAATATTTAAAAAATTGTAATTTATGATTTGCTATATTTCTTATAAATGTTTTATACTTTACAAAAATTTTGAAATATTTCTAATATGTTACATATTATTAATTCTAGTGATAAGTGAAGATTAACAACATAAATTTTTTAAAAATAATGATATTTTTTTTAGCAAATCTTTTTTTATTTTTCTGTTCAATCTAATTTTATTTTCAGATTATTGTTGCATTATTATAATGCGATCAACAGATTCATTGTTTATTCCATAATAATATTTTAAATATAACTGTAAATAAATTTAATTATAATAGTCATACGCGAAATTAAAATAAAAAATTAAAATTATTTGTTCGATTACAATATAAATAGACACATTATAATTCTTTATTTTTATTTTTATTTTTATTTTTTTATTTTTATTTTTATTTTTTTATTTTTATTTTTTTCTTCTTTATTTTTATTTTTTTATGGCATATTTATATTTGTTTACGGCATAGCATGAATTAAACATATGAATATATGAATAATATGAATATAGAATTAATATTTTTTTCAAAAAAATAAAACGATTGAAAAGTAATTATCTTTTTTTTTTATGTAAATTAGAACTATTCAATAAAGAATTTCAATTTTTAAATTTCAAGTTTTTATTTAAGAATTTCAATTTTTATTATCATATTTGTAAATCATAATGTTTTACTTTTTGTTATGATTGTTAAAATATCTTGTGATCTTCACGATGACTTCCATAGACTACAACATTGATAGAAATGCAGATTCTTTGCATCTAAAGGTTAATTGCATGCATTCTACTGATGAATTTTGGTTTCTCCAGTTACTCGTAGAATGAAAAATCCAAATCGACACGAATGACTCGAATACGAGATTGTATACGTGGAATTTTGCACGAGTACAGTAATAGGTATTTATTATATTCGTGAGTAGTAATATTTTTTATTTTTTGTATATTTTACTTGTTAGATCAGAATTAGTCTTCTTGTATATCGCGTCTTTAAATATTAATAATCTTCCAAGTTAATAAATATAATAAGTAAATTTTAATCATAAAATTCTAGAGTATTTTAATATAAATATTTGCAAATATTAAACATCTAAATATATAAATATATGAATATTCATGTATGAATTAAATATGAATATAAAAATACTTAAAAATAATGCGATAATAAATAATTTTTAAATTTTAAATTTTAATTTAATTGTTTAGTTTTCAAAATAATAATTTTATTTTTCTCATCTGAAAATATATTAAATATTATATACAGAGAAGAGACTTCGCGACAGACAGATCTTTAAATCAAAGCTACTACTAAAGTTTTTAATATTTTTTTTTTATTATTTTCGGAAATGTGTTTTGATAAAAGAATCGCTTTTAGGATTTGAATCAATTATTTCATTGAATTGTATTTATAATTAATTTTTTAGTAAATAAATGTTCTTTTAATTAGTGATTCTTTTTATAAGATACTAAAATTTTAACGATTTATTATGTTTATAAAAAGTAAAATATAAAGTAAAATCATTAAAATAAGATATAATTAAAATACGATTACATAAAATCAAAGTTCATTAGCCCGTCATACAAATTTATATTAATGTTTTTAGATCAGGATTTTCAGATTTAATCCTTTCTGTGTCCATTGTCAGAATCTCA